AAATATTTATTTTTTAGGTATCATTAATTTTTATTATATGAATATAATATAGAAATATTAAAAAATAAATTTTTTTAAAGAATTAAATAAATTTAAAATAAATTAAAATAATTTAAATTTTAAAATATATATATTTATTATTTGTATTTTATTTACTTGTTTTTCCTTATTTTACTATTTAATAATTTACACTTATTTAAATAAAATTAATACAATGCATGTAAATATTTTTAAATAAATAGGAAGTACATCTAGAAAAAGTAAATTCTAAAATTATTATTTTTTATAAATATATCAAATAAAATAATATATTTTAAGTATATTATTTTAATTTAATAAAATCAAGAAATTTATTAAATTATTTTTTAATATTTAAATTAAAAAATTACTTTTTTATTTATATTTAATAATTTATATTCATATAATTTAAATAATAATTATTAATAAAATCATTTATAACTTCTTAAATAGCTAATTTAGCTATTAAAACGATCAATAAAGATATAGATTTTGCTGAAAAAAACGAATAAGCTCATATATAAAAATGAAGATATTAATTAATAAATTAATTTACTTTTATATATATAAAAAAATAAAAATATAAAAATTTGTATATTAATTGGATTTCAAGGATACTAAGAATAAATATTAGAAAATAAATATAATGAATTTAATTAAAATAATTAACTTATTTTAATTAAAATTTTAAAATAATAATAAAAAAAAAACAAATTTTAATAAAAATAAAAAAATATAAATTTAAATAAATGAAAAAAGAAAAAATAATTTATAAAATGAATATATATTAAAAAGAAAATATATAAAAAAAATAGCATTCATTAACAAATAAAAAAGTGTGAATTTAGTATTTCAACAGATGATTATAAAAATTTAAACAAAAATATGTTTTCTTTGTTAAAAATATCAAGTAAAATTATAATTACTTGAAAATTAAAAAAAATCATAAAGAAAATATATTTAGTAATAGGAAAATATTATAAAAATATAATAATTATAAACATTAATATATAAAATTTTAATAAATTAAAATTATTTAAATAAAATATTATATTATTTAATATTATTTAAATATATAATATTTAACATAATTTATTAAAATATAAGTATTTTATAATATAATTTAATATCTTTGTTAAAAGAAAAAAGATAAAAAATAAACTATTATTTCTTATATTTATTAGAAAATAAAATATAAAATAAAGACTTAAAATAAAATATTTAAAATTAATAATAATTGTCTTAGAAATATAAATATTTAAAAACTTCAAATTATTTATAAGATATAAAAGAAATTTATTACAATTTTTTAATTAAAGTAATAATAATAATAAAACCATTCATATATTTAAGTTACATTTTATTTAAAAAAATTAAAAATTATGCATTTGAAAAAATGAAAAGATATACAAATTTAAAGAAAAGATTAAATATTTGAAACCTTATTTAATAATAGAGAATTTTATTATAATAAATGAATTTATTTTCAAATGGAAATTAATAAATAAAATAATTTGAAAAATATAAAATTTTAATGATTAATTATGAAGAAAATAAATAATTCATTTATTTGAAATTTACAAAATAATAAATAAAAACAATAATAATTTAACAAATAATATTATTAAATTTTATTTATTTAAAAATATTTTCATTTAATTATATTGAAAATATATAGATATTAATAAATTTGTAATATTAAAATAACAAAAAAAAAATTATTAAATAATCATTATATTAAAAATTTAATTATAGTTTAATATAAATATACTTAAAATAATTAATATAATAATCAAAATATAATATAACTAATAATAAAAAAAAGACTACTTAATAACTATTTTATTATTAATCATCACCTTAAGCCTAAATTAAAAATCTATTAAAATCAACGCATCATATACATCTAGATGTTTTTGGATCAAGATAATGTTTTTCATCACATAATGTGCATATATTACTATTTTCACAATCTAGACAATGATTAATAGTAGTACAACTTTTTTTACATTTAGTATATCTATAAACACCTGGTACATAGTAAACTACTTCGTGATAATCATTAATACAGCCATAACAACTTCCTGTATAAAGACAACCAGTACATCCCTCAGCGCAAGTTAATAGATTAGGATCTGTGATAACATACATACATTATCTATTATAACCGCAATATTAATAGCCAGCATCACATATAATGCATGTTTATGTATTACATCTAGCACATTTACTGTATACATTTTTACAGCTAAGACATTCTGTTATTTTATAACCTTAAGTATTTTCGTGTTTATCATAATAACCATCCTTACAACTTTAACATTCTCCAGATTCAAAACATTCACATCCTTCAGGACAGCTTTTTCAGTATCAAGAACTCTACTAGCGATTTCAAAGCATTATTTACTTTCTTAATCTTATTAATATCCATCTTAACATTATTAACATTCCCCAGATTAATTACATTACAAACATCCATAAGGGCAACCATTTTAAGTTGTTAAAAAATTGGTCAAGGCACCAAATATTAAGATATTTATTATAATTAGTTTTTAATACATTATTTTTTTATATATATTTTTATTAATTTTTTTAAGTAATAAATTAATTATATTTATATATTTACAATCATATATTTATATGAAATATCTTTTTTTTTTCATAATACAATAATTACGTAAATTTGAAAAATATAGTTATTTTTTATGAAATTAATAATGAAAATATTTATTTATATTTGGCTTTTTAATTTAAATAATAAATATCTATTTAATAGTAAAAAAAATATTTTAATTAATATATATAATAGTTAAATTTTTTTTTTTTTTAAAAAATGATTTATATTTACAAATTGATTTAATAAAAAATAAAATTAAAATATAATTATATCTAAATAAATATAAAAATAATTTAAATTTACTATAAATTATTTATAAATAAAAAACACATAAAAAAATAAAATTAAAACATAAATTCTATTTATTTTTATTTTAATGATTATTGAAAATATAATAAAAAAATAAAAAAAAAAATTTTTAATATATATATAATCAAATCTATTTTTTTTTGATTTATATTAATTAATAAATATTACCATAAATTTATATATTAAAAAAATCTTATAATAAAATATATATTAAAAAATATTTTTTTTATAAATTATTTTATATTTTTTCTATATATTATTAACTATATAAAAACTAAAAATAATTTAATTATATTTTATTTATATGTTTAATAATTATATATTAAATATTTTATTTATTTATTATAAATATCATTATTATTAAACAAATTTCTTTAATTTTTTATATTTCAATATTATCTATTTTTTTTTTTATTTTATTTTTTTAATATTTTTAAAATAATACAATTTATAGAATATTATAATTATTAATATTAATACAAATTTTTCTAATTTTCATGTAAATATAATAATTTAATTAATAATAAATCATAAATATTAAATGTATATAAAATAAATAAATAACTAAAATTAATATTTATATATATTAAATTTTATTCTTTATAAATTAAATAAACTTATTTTAAAAATTTGTTAATTAATTTTTAAAAATTAGATTATCTAAATATACATATATTTACTTTTTATTATTATTTATTGATTTAATTATATTTGTGTTGTTTATATATATTTTTTTTTTAATATTTTTTTTTTTTTTTGTATTTTATTAATTAATTTTTTTTTTCCCTATTAATATTCCTTTTAAATATTTTAAATAATTTTTATGTTATTAAAATGGATTATTGATAAGGAAATCATTATTATAAAATTAAATATTTTGGAAATAATTATTTATTTAATAATAATTGGAAAATAAATACATAACTAAAATATTAATTATTTGTTTTTTTTTCAATAATATTATGTTTTTTATATAATGTAAAGATATAAAGTGTTATAAATATATTACTATAAATTATAGTGAAGATTAATTAATAAATAAATTTATATATATATTAAAAATTTTTCTATAATTTTAAATAACATATATAAATTATATATATAAATAATAAAAAGATACAAATAATAATCTTATATATAAAATAATTTTTAATTTAATATATTAAATCAAAAATAAAAATTATTTTTATATATATTAAAATATATTATTTTTATAATCATATGTATTAATATTTATAAATTATATATATTTATACATATATATAAATATAAATTTATATAAATTTATAATTTTTTATATATATTTTATAAATTTTATTTATAAAAAGATTTTATTTACCACTTTTTTAATAAACTAAATAAATTCATATTTATACAAAATTATTTATATAATTATTAATATTTTAAATATTATAATTTAATTTATATAAAAATTTAAATTTTTAAAATACCAATATATACAAAAAAAAAATATTATAAATTAATAAAATACAATAAATAATAATCTTTATTAATATATTAAATAATGTATATTGATAAATTCTAAAATTTTAATATATATATCGAAATTGTATAGAAATAAAAGAATACTAAAAGATAATGTAGACAATGTAATAGAAAAAAATAGAAAAAAAATTAAAAATGACTAACCTCTTTTTTAATAATTAATAAGACTAAGCCTATAAATAAAAACAATAACAGATTAATGCATAATATATTAAAGATTTTTAAAAAAAAACGTAAAATAAAAACTATTATATAAATATTATGGAAAATTCATAGATTTATTTGTAAATACTCTTCAGCAGTAATTATACATTAATAATGAAAATAAAAATATTTATGATTTTAAGTTTAAAAGTGAAAATAGAAAGAACAACTGAATTTAATTAAATCATATATTTATTTTATATGGAAATTTTTAAATATGAATAATAAATTTGTAGTTTACTTACTTTTGGAAGAATAAAATATAACTTATCAAAATAAAAAAAAGTAAAGTATAATTATAAAAGATAAAAATATATAAAATATATATATATATATATATATATATATTTA